CCCGCGGCACGACGAATGTAGATACCCGCGGGTCACGTGATCGGAATCTCGATGAATGATGGGAAATGTAGTAACAGGGTAGGGGAAATGAAAAAATGAAATAAATTGAATAAATAAAGAATAAGGGTAGATATACATTAGAATAAATGGCATATACAGTTAAAAATCACCTTTGAAAGAAATAGTAATGATGTATAAACAAATAGTGAATTAATACAATCATATAGGATCTGCAATAGGAAGATCCTCCCATAGAATAATAAATAATGAATGATATAATAAATACAGTCTCTATTAAATAATAATAAATAGATAAGTAAAATCAAACAGTACTGAAAATTGTTATAGAAAATTAAATATAAAAAATATTCTCGGTAGGTCAGAGATGGAGTGGGTATTTAAGTTACAAACCCTAACACCCCAAGGTCTTAATGTAGATTTTGATTTATTTAATTTTCTATAACAATTTTCAGTACTGTTTGATTTTACTTATCTATTTATTATTATTTAATAGAGACTGTATTTATTATATCATTCATTATTTATTATTCTATGGGAGGATCTTCCTATTGCAGATCCTATATGATTGTATTAATTCACTATTTGTTTATACATCATTACTATTTCTTTCAAAGGTGATTTTTAACTGTATATGCCATTTATTCTAATGTATATCTACCCTTATTCTTTATTTATTCTATTTATTTCATTTTTTCATTTCCCCTACCCTGTTACTACATTTCCCATCATTCATCGAGATTCCGATCACGTGACCCGCGGGTATCTACATTCGTCGTGCCGCGGGTCACGTGACACAGTTTAGTCCCGCCTTGCCGTCCGTGCGTGCCATTCTTCTTTCCACTGGCCGCACGGACTGTTTTCATATCGGCAGACACTAGCGGTCACGTGACCCGGCGCACTACAGATACCATGGTGCATTGCGGGTCACGTGACACGCTCAAGATTTCGTTATCTATTCAATTTGTCTAATATTACAATATACAAACCTCGTTTTCTAATTATATTAACACTCATAACTCCTTATGTTCAAATAGGTTAATACTGTGCATTATTGTTAAATTTTGTTTATGTACTTTTTATTTATATTCAGCTCTGCTCTGATTGGTGCCTGCTTTTTTGGCGCCAATTTTGATTGTATGTACAAGCTATATATACTCCCTATGTGCCAGGGACTTACACTATCCCAATTTGATAAAGCCTGCTGGCGAAACGCGTTATTGGTTTTAATATATTGTATTAATAAATAATAATTTTACATATATTACCTTTCTATACTATTTTATTCTGTTCCTGGCATATCCTAAGGTGGGGATTATACCACCCACGCGAACAACAGAGTGCAGTAAGTCCTGCACTCTATTTGTGAGTATATTTTATTTATTTTTATCCTTTTATGCTATTATTTCTCCGGAGAGCACTATCGGCTGTTTTTATTTATTTCTTTTTATGAGAATTGGATACCAGCACCCCCCAAGAGGAAAAGTACCCCTATAAGCGGAGGGTAATCTGCTGTGTGCCTATCATACTAGAGCTGGTCCTAGCTCATGGACATGTGAGTGTGCAATTTATATTTTAACCTCACTATTATTTTTCTGTACATTCTGCACGATTAGTCCTTTCCCATTGTGTTTTTCATATCGGGAGATGGACAACTGTTAACAAAGAAGATACCACATCAGCCAAGACACCACCTACTATTGGGACTTTTATACTGAATATATAATATTTTTATTATTTATTTTATTTTCTCATCGAGTTTTATCTTTTCTTGTTTTATTTATTTTCTGTGGCGCAGCCTTTTTTCTGTTTTCTCTGTATATTTGTTCTATAGAGGGTTAGAGGGTGACCCCCTATTAGGTTGCTGCCTTTTATTTCATTTTATTTGTTTTTATTTGTTTTTATTATTAGCGCTAGCCGTTCCAACTTTTTCTGTGTATTGTAACCCTTACACTACCTGATCGATACAACATCATACCTGATGTTTTAAAGCACGTTATTCCAAACAATTTAGGAATGTGATTTATGCCCTTTATGGATTAAAACCAACTATGTAATTTTCCATGGGAGTTTTGCCATGGATCCCCCTCCGGCATGCCACAGTCCAGGTGTTAGTCCCCTTGAAACAACTTTTCCATCACTATTGTGGCCAGAAAGAGTCCCTGTGGGTTTTAAAATCTGCCTGCCTATTGAAGTCTATGGCAGTTCGCCCGGTTCGCCGGTTCGCGAACATTTGCGGAAGTTCGCGTTCACCATTCGCGAACTGAAAATTTTATGTTTGCAACATCACTATAAAGGTTAAATAACCTCCTAGATGGATACATATCTTAAGCGCACAGCTATTGTCAGTAGAGTCAACATTAATTTCCTTTTAATATTTCCTTTTAATGTTAAAATCCAGTTGAGAGCATTATTTCATAACCATCTGGACTCATCAGTTCAATGAACTGGCATACAGAACAAGAAAAGGAGAGCTTTAGTTTTTAGATTTAAACTTCTAATACACATATTTCTTTGTAAAATAATAGTAATGAGCACATTAAACGTATATACTACTTATTAAACAACCCATTCTAGTAAGAATTTTTCTGTCCAACAAAAAATAGTCCAGATTTTCAAGAAATAAAACCCCTTTACAACTGATGGTAATTATATTTTATATTTACATAGAGTAAGTTATATATTACCCTATATATAAATTGAAAGAAAAGTCTCTAATAAAAAAATATGTATTATTAATATATGGTTTACTGCATGTAGTGAACATAGATTAAACTCGGTAAATCTTTACTATTCACAATTTCCCTTATATCGAGTGTTGACTAGGAAATAGACGTATACCTTCATAAAGTTTGTATAACAGGGGTGCCTAATCAAATTGCACAAAGTGCATGTGAATGTTGTTTTAGAACAGACCCCTTAATGCTGCTATGATAAATGAGCTTATCGCATCAGTATTATGAATTTACAGCAAATATATGTTTTGTCTATGGAGCTTGTGGAGCTACGACCCACTCTTTCTGGTACTTAAACTACTGCTACTGGCACAAATTAGAGAGACAAAGCACTACATTTAATTTATAGACTTTTATATATTAAATTGCGAGCAAGTCACATAGATTACAAAGGATATCTAAAACAACCAAATCACTTAACTTCCCTATGGTGCTTAATGTCAAAGTGTCAAGTTGTTCCTTCAACCTGTACTTGCTGAACATGAAATATTGCTAATGGAAAGCGCCAATGCAGTTTATGAATAAGAAATGTGGATGAAAAGCATTACTACACAAAGAAGCCTCAGAGCATTCAAGAAAATTTATGATAGAAATATTTTTACATAGTTGTCTGCTAGAAAAGTTGATTTGTGGGTTGCTTGATTTAGTTTACTAACCTTATTTATTTGGAGATCTAATCAAATTCTCTTTTGACACTGCCTTTTTTACATAATGTGTTCAGTAACAGCTAAAGTAAGAACACGTTTGACCTTCTTGGTCTTAAATGGTGGTATACCGTTTTAAAAATGTTGTAAATGTAACACTGCAAGGTCCAGAGTAGTGCATTTTAGATATGTTAGATATACAGATTGGTCTTAAAAGTAAATTTGATAAAAATCATAAAAAGTTTGTTATTTAGGCCATTTAAAGTAAATAATATACAATAAAATCAATATATTAGTAACATAGTCCAGCAAGTTCTATTTTTAAAGCATTCATGTTGTTCTCCATAATATAAAAAATAAAGACCTTTAACTTTCTATATGGCAAAAGGTAAAACTATTTTCCTTTTCACCAAATATGTCAATCAACAAACAATTATCTTTTTAAAATACCATCATTAATTATTTTAACCCTATATAATTTATTTGCTAAAAGGCCTCTAGCCTATATATTTTTTACAATATATATCACCTCGCTGATGAGGGCCACCAAGGCTGCACAAGCGATATAGCAACCTCAGATGATTGTTTCAGAGGATGCGTACATTATAGATCTTTACAAGATGAATTAAAACTAGATTGCAAAATGAATGGGCCAAAGGGCAAGCTTTTTTTTGTTTTATTTATTTACCATCTTTAAAACTAACTTGAAACTTAAAGCAACATATGGAAGTAATTGGCACTTTTGTTAATGTAATCTACAATATAGCTTATATAGCATTTTGATCATCCATTAAATACATATAATTTTTGTTTTTGGTTTAGTATAAATTCAGCATATAATGGTCATAAGGATATCCTTATATACTCCTAATGGTATCTAGGAAATAGTATGACATGGCCATGTCACAATTTCTCTATTGTTATATTCATGATGTGGTTCATTTAACATAGTGAAGGTTTCTGACTAAAAACTCAATTGTAAAATTCAGGCCAAAATATCTAAGCTGGGATTATAGCTGACTTGTAGATTTTTTTCAAATAATATATTATTGACCTTTACTTGAAGTTTAGTTTTCAATTCAGTAATATTTGCTGTTTAGCTGTAATTTTCCTATTACTCATTTACTGTACCCACACGTTATATACTGGTTTTCTCGCCATTAAATGGTCTTTCTAAAGATATCATTATTTTCATCATATCATATACCGTATATACTCGTGTATAAGTCGATCTCATGTATAAGTCGAGTGCAGTTTTGTGACCAACAATTGGGAAATATGCTATGCCTCGTGGATAAGTCGAGGGTAAAACTTGGGACTATGAAATTCTGTGATTTTTATAATTATATATACACACACTCATACAAACACACACTCTGCATTATATATACACACACACACTTATACAAACACACACTCTGCATTATATACACACACTCTGCATTATATACACACACTCTGTGTATATAATGCAGAGTGTGTGTTTGTGTAGTGTGTGTGAACCGGGTGGGGGGAGGGCATTTTTATTATTTTAATTTTTTTTTAATATTATTTTTTTATTATTTTAATTTTTTTTTGTCCCCCCCTCCCTGCTTGTTAACTGGTCAGGGAGGAGGGCTATCTTAATCCCTGGTGGTCCAGTGGCATGGGCTGTGAAGTGGGGGGGCTGGCAGGAAGCATTTACTTACCTTTCCTGCAGCTCCTGTCAGCTCCCTTCTCCTCCATTCCGGTCAGCTCCACTGTAAGTCTTGCAGTCTGGTTGCCGCGCTGATCGTTGCCATGGTTCTGACGGCTCTCTAAGTTTCCATAATACAGACAGTGACTCGAGTATAAGTCGAGTGGGGGTTTTTAAGCACAAAAAATGTGCTGAAAAACTAGACTTATACTCGAGTATATACTGTAATTTACTATAAAAACGATTATAAAATATTATGAAAAAATGTAAAAAACACACTTTTTTGAACTTTGACCCCCAAAATCTGTTACACATCTACAACTGCCCCAAAACACCCATGCTAAATAGTTTCTAAATTTTGTCCTGAGTTTAGAAATGCCCAATGTTAACATGTTCTTAGCTTTTATCGGAAAGTTATAGGGCTATAAGTACAAGTAGCACTTTGCTATTTCCAAACCATTTTTTTTTCAAAATTAACGCAAGTTACATTGTAATACTGATATCTATCAGGAATCCCTGAATAACTCTTCACATGTATATATTTTTTAAAAGAGGACAACTTAAGGTATTAAACTTGGGGTATATTGACTCTTTTCATGCAACCATTTTACCACCAATCTATGCCAAATTTAAAAAATAAAAATAATTGGTGATTTTTTTTTACACACATAGCAATTTAAGAATACATGTACTGAGAACTTTAAGGGTTACTGCCAAAGAACACCCCAGTATGTGTTCAACAACATCTCCTGAGTACAGTGATACCCCCTATGTATAGGTGTGTTGGGTTCTCTGGGAGCTAAAAGACCTTATTTGGAGAGTGTGCATTCCAGTTTTCCAACTTGGAATTTTCACAGCTGGTCATCATGCACCCATGTCCTATTTGGGACATTTTTTAAGCCGGCCAATGTAATTTACCCCCATCAAACCATATATTTTTGAAACGTAGACACCCTAGAGTATTTCAAATGGTGATATTTTAACACTCTCCATGCACTAATTCTACCACCAGTCTTTGTCAACCTTTTGGGTAGTAATTTGTTTGTGTTATTTTTCACACATTGTACTTTAGGCATGGATTCTCAGCTCCTATTATGTATTAATGCAAAAGAACACCACAATATGTGTTCAGCAACATCTCCTGAGTACAGTGATACCACCCATGTATAGGTGTGTTGGGTTCTCTGGGGGCTAAAATACCTTATTTGGAGGGTGCACATTCCAGTTATCCAACTTGGAATTTTCACAGCTGGTCTTCATGCACCCATATCCTATTTGAGACATTTTTGAAGTTGGCCAATGTATATTATCCATCAAACCATATTTTTTTTTTAAAAGTAAACACCCTAGGGTATTTCAAATGGTGGTATTTTAACACTTGCCATTCACTAATTCTGAAACCAGTCTTTGTCAAACTTTAGGTAGTCATTCTTTTGTGTTATTTTTCTCTCACATTGTGTACTTTAGGTATGGATTCTCAGTTCCTGTTATGTCTTACTGACAAAGAACACCCCAATATGTGTTCAGAAATATCTCCCGAGTACAACAGTGCCCCCAATGTACAGGTTTTATGGGTTTTTGTAAACTGACAGGGGTCAATTATAGGGCTTTCCCCTTTTCTATGTTTGCACATTGAAATTTGCCAGATTGGTTTGCCTATGTTGCCTTTGAGAGCGTATAGCAACCCAGGAATGAAAATTAGCCCCATCATGGCATACAATTTGTAAAAGTAGATAACCCACGGTATTCAAAATGTCCAGTCTTTTGTAGTAGCCACTGAGCCACAAACGCTTGCCAAATATTAGCGTTTTTATTAGTATTTTGCATTTTATTTACACAAAAACTGCAGTTTTACTGGTGATTTCATCGTTGTGATAAGTTTTACTGTTGTAAACACTCACATTTGTGTTCAGCAAAGTCTCCTGAGTATAACAATTACCCCCATGTACAGGTTTTAAGGTGGTTTGAAAAGGTACAGTGGAGTGCCGGGCTGGACCACCGGGATACCGGAAAATTTCCCGGTGGGCAGTTGGCACCTGGGGCCGGACCGACAGCTGCACCTCCTCCATGGAACTCCTTTCCCTTCTCCGTAAGACTTTCACCCAGTCTCCATTCATTAAAAAAAATCATTGAAAACTCACTTCTTCAAGAAAGCATATCAATTAAAATGTTAGCAGGTTTTTATCCCCCACCCCCATGACTCCTCTCCTACCAACTGTCAAAATTACCTACTAAGCCCTCAGTGAATACTTTTCTAACAACCTACTTTGTACCCCTACTTTTACCCTTTGTGTCACTATACCCCACTCCCTCTAGAATGTAAGCTTATTGAGCAGGGCTCTCTACCTCTCTGTTCCTGTACGTCCAGTTGTCTGGTTACAATTACATGTCTGTTAGTCCACCCATTGTACAGTGCTATGGAATCTGATGGCCCTATATAAATAATAAAATAATAATAATAATAATAATAATAATAATAATAATAATAACAATAATAATATATATATAATATATAATTTCATTATAAGTGTATTTTGATATTAATATATATATATATATATATATTAATATCAAAATACAGTTAGAATAAAATTACATATATATATAGATATAATTTAAAAAATATATATATTTTTACAGTTTATTTTTAATTATTATTTATTTTTAACTTATATAGTTATTATATATGTTATATTTATATGTGTGGAATTTTACTAAGTGTATTTTTATATTAATATATGTATATATTAATAAAAATATACACTTAGTATGACGTTATATACAAGATATATATATATACATATTATATATATATATATATATATATATATATATATATATAATATGAGTATATATATATATATATATATATATATATATATATATGTGTGTATATCACCAGCAGGGGGACTGCCTGTCAGTTCAGGCAGTCCCCCTCCTGGCAGCACTGTGGACACCTATGGGGGTCATGTGACTGCTCTTTTAGCACGGTCACATTGCCCTTTGGGGCCCTTTTTTGCAGAGGGGGGACTCTCTGGGCTCAGTCTAGAGAGTCCCCCCTAAGAAGAAGACCGATCGCCGGTGGGGGAACAGCGGCGATTGATAAGTACATGGGGAGGGTAGAGGGTTAATTAAAATATATATATATATATTTTATATTTACTGAGTGCCTCGACCCCTTGAGGCACTCCGTACAGGCAGACTATCGGAAGCTTGCCTGAAGGCTTCCGATGTTCTGCCTCACTGCCTGGCTCTACGTGGAACAACCTGGAAGTGATCACTCCGGTGGGAGTGATCACCCGTTGTTCTTCAGTGGCCCCCGGCAGTGAGGGGGTATTGCAGCAAGCCTCAACAGAGCTCTACTTCCTCTAGGACGTATCAGGTACGTCCGCAGTCCTTAGGGACCGTTTTTTGTCAGACGTACCTGATACGTCCTTGGTCACTAATCTGAAAATTGTATTTTAAATGCTACCACTGTTTTTCTTACAAAATTCCAACCATCACTTTTGAAAATATTTTCTCTGTGTTGTATGTCAATCCTACAATGGAGTCATCTAGTTTGAGGCTATTGAATTAAATTAATCACTCAATAGCAATATTTACTACAGATATACAGTGAAAGGAACCCGCTTGTCTAAATAGATAAATTTTGAAATAATTTTACAAATATGTTTGTTTCATTTCTTAACATGTCTGATTATATACTTTTATGAACAAGACTAGTATATAGTTAATCATTTAAGACAGATGTATTTTTAAAATTAAGTTAATTGCTTGATTCTAAAATTCTCAATTAATAATGTAAAAGCTAAGAGATCTGAATTTATTTTGTGATATTAGATATATTAAGGTTGGAGAGCTGTGTTTTTCTTTATTTTAGATTCAGAGATGTTTTATTTTTTTGAAATAACATATACATAAACAGTATTTTGACAATGCTTCCTTTAATTTCCTGGATGAAGGATTTTGATTGTTTTATCTATTTATAGATTTGTCCTTTTTCCATTTTTTAATTTTGACATTATCTACCGTATTTACAGTGTAACTGTTTTGTAAAGTTCTCTTGTACTATGGATATATAGAAATAGTAATATTGACAGGTTTTATATATATAAACCAAAACACAAGTCCGGCACTCCATTTTTCTTAATATCTGCAAGATAATACCCTTGGTAGTAACCCGGGAAACATATACAATTATCAAAATAATGAGAGCACACAAGGGATCTGTGAAAAAAGTCAACTTTTTGACCTCTTGTCGGGTCTTTTTCAAGACAATGTGCAAAAATAAATATGCAAATATATATGTGATTAACTTACCAAGATCTGTGTGTGTGTGTATGAGCCCAGTGAACACTGGATGTTTTTTAATCGTGTTCATGTAGGTAAGCAACAGAGAAGGTTGCATAGCAACAGGATGATCACCTAAGTGGTGCAATTGAACAGCATATTGAGAGTGAGTAGTCCACCGTGAAACAACAATGGCAGAATATGGTGAATAAAAACAAACATTAGGAAGGCTCAAGGAAAGAAATACGAGGTAAGTATAGTTCTATATGAAGAAAAATATTCTGTGAATCCAAAAAAAATAAAGAATAATAACAGAAACATAGAATGTGACAGCAGATAAGAACCATTCGGCCTATCTAGTCTGCCCAATTTTCGAAATACTTTCATTAGTCCCTGGCCTTATCTTATAGTTTGGATAGCCTTATGCCTATCCCACGCATGCTTAAACTCCCTCACTGTTTTTACGACTTCAGCTAGAAGGCTATTCCATGTGTACACTACCCTCTCTGTAAAGTAGTACTTCATGAAATTATTTTTAAACCTTTGCCCCTTTAATTTAAGACTATGTCCTCTTGTTGTGGTAGTTTTTCTTATTTCAAATATAGTCTTCTTTACTGTGTTGATTCCCTTTATGTTTTTAAATGTTTCTATCATATTCCCCTTGTCTCGTCTTTCCTCCAAGCTATACATGTTAAGATCCTTTAACCTTTACTGATAAGTATTATCCTGCAATTCATGAACCAGTTTAGTAGCCAAATCTCTGAACTCTTTCCAAAGTATCAATATTCTTCTGAAGATATGGTCTCCAGTACAGCGTACAATACTCCAAGTAAGGTCTCACCAATGTTCTGTACAATGGCATGAGCACTTCGCTCTTTCTACTGCTAATACCGCTCCCTGTACAACCAAGCATTCTGCTAGCATTTCCTCCTGCTCTATTCCA